ATCGGTTTCAGGCCTGGATGCAACAATCATTCAATGATAGGCCCAAAGATTGGTTTGATTTCACATAGTAAAGGGCAGTGACCTTGCACTTCATTCAAAATTCGGGCCTGACAACAACTGTATTCTAGGCCAGGAGAGCTCCTTCGGTTGTATACTGCCACCGGAAGTATTCGGCAGTAAACACTAAACAATAGGCCCTTCAGCTTCACTCCAGCAGAGAAGCCGCTAGTTTCTGGCGAAAAAATTCATTGATCTCATTGTGGGTTACATTTCGTGTACGCACAGTTTATAAGGTATGTGTGATGTATTGTGATCTGTACTTACATTATACTTTATCAATTCTTCATAAAATGCTTGCAGTTGGCGCCAGTTGGCCTCAAACTCAAAGGGTCTTCCAAAGTTTCCAGCACTGCTAGCTAGCCCTCTCTGACTCGTCTCTGCTCTGACTCTGTCTCTGTGTAGACACTAGATTTTCTAGATCTAGAGTCTAGATCTAGAATCTATCTAGATCTAGATAGTCTAGATTTTAAAAAATAAGTTGTTAGATTAATAAACTTTAAAATTCCGGATTTTCTAGTCTAGTGTTGGATTTCTGTTTCAGTTTCCACTTTCAGTTGCAGTTGAATTCTCCTCGGTCCTCAGCCATCTAACTTTAGACTTTAGAGGGAGATCAAGAATCGAGTCTAGAATATCCATCTCTAGAAAATCTTGACTTAGATTAAATTCTAGACATAGATCTCTCTCTCTCTCTCTCTCTCTCTCTCTCTCTCTCTCTCTCTCTCTCTCTCTCTCTCTCTCGATCTATATATTATATATATATATATATAGATATAGGCCACCTCTATTCTCACCCGGGGTGAGAAGAGTGCAGGCGAGTCTTTTTTTGGCTATTCTCACCCGGTGCGCGTTCACCGTTATAGCCTAGATCTAGGCCAACAAATTTTGCGTTCACCCTAAACCACAGAATTCTACACTGTGATAACAGAAAAATTGTAGAATTCTGTGCCGTGAACAAACGTTCCATTTCAACTGTAGCCTACTAAAAGCGTACAATTGTGTCTGTGGGCAGTGGAGAGAGGGAGAAAGAGAGAGAGGAGTAGCGCGAGAGCAAAATGGCGACCTGCGTAGTTCGGCTCGATTCGAAAAGTTAAATAGCCGTAGCATCTTTGTAGACAACCAAATTAATTTACTTTTGTGTTTTAACATCATTTTTTAACTTTGTTTTGGTCAATTTGATCGTCCACACCGATAGACAGTATTCAGAAAGAGACAGAGAGAGAGAGAGAGAAGAGGGTAGGAGTAGATCTTGCGAGAACTTCCGGGCGGGTGAGAATAGCCACTTTCATAGATATATCTAGATTCTAGGCCTACAAACTTGACAATTGTGTTGTGGGGTTTTGGTTTTGGCCAGCTCTACTCGGACTCGAGTCCAAATATAATTTTTCTCTATTCGGACTCTGGTCCGAAAAATTTTTTAAAATTTAATTTATTCGGACTCAGCTTCTAACTTGTGAGTCTTTTGTGGGTGTAAGGAGGTTACATTATAATGTAACTGTTGTTGGGGGATTTTACGTAAAACCAGAATTAGACCTTAATAAGTTAGGATCTTGTGTAATTGTGTCAAAAGTCAAAAGACTGCACTCTCACTAGTCTAGGGCTATTGTTAGGGGACCGTACGCCCCAATAGCTCTTGCTTGGCGCTAGGGGACCGTATGCGCCCATAGTGTTTGGCGCTAGGGGACCGTACGTCCTACCTGCGCTAAGGCGTGATGTTACGGGACCGTGCGCAGATATGCATGCATCTGGACTTTGCAAAAGTACTGGAGGAAAACGGCCAGTTTAACGAAGCTCCAGACATAAGGCAAGGAGTTATTACTAGGAGAATGTTTAAAATATTTGAATACGATTGTGAGGTATCCAGTGGCCGTGGGTGAACCAGAATTTTTAATTTGCTCACGTTTGCACCCACGTTGTTGTTGTGTCAATAAAAGAAATCAAAGAGAGGGGGAGAGAGAGAGAGAGAGAGAGAGAGA